GCCACATCACCCGCCTCACCACCCGCCGCCCCCACCGCCCCATCATCACCCTGGTTTGCCACCCGGACACCCGTACACCACGGCAGAAGACACCACCATCACCCCGCCATGGTTCGACCTCTCAGGGCCATACAGCCCGAGGACGACGGCGTGGTTGACGACCCCAAGGTCACTCTCGAAGGAAAAGACCTGTGGGAGAAGTTTCACAAGCTGGGCACGGAGATGGTCATCACGAAGTCCGGGAGGTAAGACTGACGACGTTTTCTTCTTTAAGAGTATTGATACTAGATCGATCTCAGGATGAAACAGTTTGCTGCGTAGTCTTCTTTGCGGCTACAAAGAATCTGTGCTAGTTTTCCGGTGATTAATAGCCATTCAGACGGAGATAATCTATCACGAAACTCCGAAAGAGCGCGATTATTATGTGGTAGGCCTAATTAATCTCCGTCGTGAACGAACAATGACGTGGGCCTACGGGCAGTCTGCAACTGCCCGTAGATTTATTTCGTACGAAGCGAAACGTCGTTCTTTTCGCTTCGTGGCCCGTTTTCATCGCAGGTGTGTGCGGTATTATGTATTTTTGCAGTGTTAATTTCCGTGCCCAAGTTTCGACTATCGTAAAAATCAATTCAGTTATTAAGTTTGTTTACGCTGGACCTACATCATTTTATTGCGAAATGAACCGCATTATAAGATCATGTCTATCGTATGACTCCACATCTGGGCTATCTTAAAGTGTGAAATTTTTGGATTTGGAAACATAAGAAATCTAAACTTTAAGCCTCTCAATGCGTAAACCTTACATTCAGGCGGTCCTATCACCGATAAAGCTAGTAAAGATAATAATCATGTATAATATGTTGTGTTATCGGTTTCATTGGTCACAAAGGGCATCAACTATAAAGGCCTAGATCTTTAGAAAAGCTTTGGCAGTTTATGTTTTATGAACAGGCTATAGAGGGTAATACGGATTATGCGTAAATAATATAGGCCTATTATTAATGTCATAATACTCACAAATGTCTGCCATCAGTTGATTTAGTAAGGTCTTAGACTCGGCCTATTTGAAAAATTCAGTTTTGTCCTAGAACGAACGTAGCCATGTTATAATGACGCAGTCAGACAGCTGCAGCTTAAATAACCCGATGGTGATTAATTCACTTTATAAACGAAACATAAAGACAACTGTGCGAGCAGTTCGTAATTTTCTTTAGGCCTAATGTCGTAAGCTTTAGACTTTCTTGAAATAAATATCTTCCAGAAATATTCTTGCACTTATCAGTAGGCATACAGCAGTATTGTGTTAGCAGTTGCTTGTTTTTATTTAGGGATTTTGTCTGTATTAGCAAACGTTGTTGCATGTAGGCTTAATATTACTTTAAGTTCACGTTTCTTTACTTAGGCGTATATATTTTTAGTTTTATCTTGGATCAAAATGCAGTTAATTCAACCCTTTTTTATTTTATGTAATAAATCTGATCTGTCATTCATCGTAGGCCTAATCTTCTGAATTAATTATGTCTGATTTTATAATACAGCAGAGAATTACTGCATTAGCACAGATTAATTATAGGCCTGCAGAAAGTAGGCGTTCGAGTTATGCGTTGTTACTGCATGTATAGGGCTACACGTGCATTGTGTCCTGTAAGTTACACTGGCAATGTAACATGGAGCCTATGGCTACCGCAATTTATACGTAGGCTCGCAAGCAAAATCTCGTGTGAATTAGGTTGAATGTTAAGCGACTGTTGTTGCAAAGAATGCAAATATAAATAACAGACGCAGATATCAGAATGTTAGGACACGTTAAATTAGCTGAAGGACAGATAAAACAAGCCAGACTTGAAACAAATGTTCTTTGGGTCAGACGATGTAATTTAATTAATCCTGACTCAGAAATGAGTATCGAGGAAGGAAGTGGCAGTGCGGACTGACGAGACATTTTCGCTGATCTATCTTGGTTGGACTTATTAAAAGACAAATGACGTTTTGTTTAATTAGACTCTGTCTTTAATGAAGGAGACTCGAATGAAAGAATGTTTGTGATGAGTTATTCCTAAAGATGTGTAAGGCAGCGGCCGTGGTCTATTTTAAGGTCAGAAATTGCCTTGAGTGACCGTCCTCTGGGTCGAGATTCGAATCCCAACCCCTCCTCTTCGAAACAAAAACTGGATTGATAACTATGTTAATTAGCATGCATAGGCCTAGGCTAAATTACGTTTTCCGTAATTATTCTTAAATCTGTAGGTTATTTATACTGAAATAATAGATTGTTTATTAAATTATATATTACTTGAACCTAGTTATGTTTATTATTAATTTAAATTATTAAACAATTTTTTCAAGAGCCATTTCCACACCCGTCCGTCAGAAAATTTTAGGTCCGACAATGTAAGTTTCATCCTGTTTTGCGGTTACAAAATCACACGCCTCTCAGAATTAAGATACTGACGTCTCTGCCTTGAATTTATGGCGTAAGTAGAATTTAATTCACAAACGAAGTTGTGAAATTCGAAGTCCGTTCCAAGGACTAAGCTTAACATAAAGTAAATATTATAATCTTAAATGGATAATTGTAAGTCTTAAGTTCTTTTAAGTAAAGTCTGCTTGCTGCCATATACATACGAGTCTTAACAATAATACTTACATTTTTTTCGCATTAAGAAATAGCAATAGGAATTTTGTGTCATAAAATTACTATTGCGTTCTTCAAGAATGCGAATCATAATTTAATTCTTGGACGTTGCTGATTAAACCCTCTTTTCTGATTTCGTGCGTGGCACTAAGAGTAAAGTAATTAGTCATCGTCCGTTCTCGTCGGAAGAATGACAAATCCTTCAGGTCTTGTGACAACTCTCTCTCGCTCTCTCTTTATAGTGCTGTGTATTTTCTTTTCTCCTGAGATTAAAGAAAATTGCTAACGTTTTATATATTAGCAGCGTTAGTATTATAAGAAATATGAGTTTTGAATACTAGAATATTTAGAGAAATTTTTAAATATACGCGTAACCTACTTTAAGTTTGTTAGAAAAGTCTGTGATAATTAATTTGCTAAAGAAGTTTTAGTTTAAATTTATTTACAAGCAACGGAGGGTATAAGAAATTTAGAAAAGCCGTTAATTTATAACGTTTTTTTGCGCAGTGGTGACACGAGAAAACAGGTGTAGAGCACAAGTGCAATTGGAACGTTCACATGTAATATGGGATAAGATATTTCCTTGTCAAATTCCAGCTTTGCTTCAGGGAATACGACTATGTTCAGACCATTGAGATTAAATCCACCGCGTCACACTACTAGTTATTTAGTGAAAAATAATAGACTATTTAGCCGTTCGAAGTCGCCCGAGGATCAAAGCGTGTACGATCTTGAACCGTTGGATCTCTGGGATCATGAGTTCGAAACCCACTAGAGACGTGAATGTATGTCCGCGTTTGTCTGTGTTGTGATGTCTTGTGTCTTGCTACGGGCCGACACCTGTCTGAGAAGTCTCAGTAAAATGCCTAAGAAGACTCACAGTTTCAGATATGAATTCGTAGAAATTTAGGCCTGAATGCAGTGGCCTGGGCCTATTCATATATGATTTTACATCAAGCTCTGCACGGTTTACATAAAAACACCATTCTTTGAACTCTGTTGGCTATAAAGGGTCGAGTGAGAAATGGTATGACTAAGAAGAATCACAAGGTACTTTAGTCACGATAACAGATTTCCCGGCTTAGATTCGAACTACAAACCCCCAGAAAGAAGCAAGAGTATATATAAAAAGCACTGCAGACGATGGACCAAACAACGAAATTCGACAGACGTAACGTGTTCACATTCTAAATCATAGACTCATTACTTTCTTCTGCATTCAAATAAAAACTGGGAAACACTTAAATGGTTTGTCATACGTAGATCTACTTCAACATTAAACACTAACACTAACTTTAGAACTTTAACTAAAGGGTTTATATGTTTTTACATCAAATTAACAAATTAACTTGTATTTACAGGCCTACTCTCTGATGAAATTAACTTGTGAAATTAAATATGTAGGCTAAGTTAATTAATTATTAATGAATGGAAATTAGTAGTGTGAACGTGTTCTGTCACCTTCTTCATAATAAACATGCTATAAAATCTTGAAGATTCCAAGTTCCTGATCAGACTAATCAATTTGTTACATAAGCAAACGAAACCGCTTTGGTAACAAATTTGTCAGCCCTGCACAGAACGCACAGAATAATAGCGTATTGGACCTCACGACAACTGTCAGTGTCGGGCTGCAGTTGGCCGTGGTCTGTAATTACACTCCGTTGAAATGAACTTGTAACTGTTTTGCTGCTTCATGGTCGAACGAAGGGTGGAGGACCTGTCGAGAGTCTAAACTTTTTGTGGCAAGGGAAATTTAAATACTTTAAAGTGTGAAGCTAATTTTGTATTTGGCTTTAATTTTTCAACGTAGGCCTATCTGATTTTTCAAATTATAGACATTGAATCTGGTCATACTGGAATCAAGATATCCATGATTGGTGCATTTCTATCTTATTTATGAGATTTCGAGATTTTACGTTAATCACCATGTAACAGCAGTTGTATCGATAGTTCTTAACCATTAACAATTCTCGTTTAAGCCCATATCAGAATGGCGGTGTTAATCTGCCTAATAAAAAATAAACAAACAAACGAAAAACGCTATCGACATATTTTGCAGGTGCAGTTTAATGTCTTGTATAAATCCAAAGTAATATGTGTGTTTACACCTTTCCTTTTTTAAAATACTGTACTTATTGCTATTCGGCTGCTGATGCAGCCCACTAAAATAACATATTTTTGTTTTTATTATTGCTAAAACTAAACATTATTATTATCCATGCGTGATTTGTGATGGTGGTGGTGATAATATTATCACAACCACCTCGATACATCGTAAATGTGGAAATGAAAGAGGCGATACATTTATGACCTTACTTTGCTGGAAACAAAGGTTAATAGGTCCGTTGGCACTTCTGTGACACTGACATTTGTCATAACTTGCCTTATACTGAGCCAGAGTTGATGCAGTGAAGTGTTGTTTCCAGCTCACTTGCAGTTATATGGGGCCTATTTTATTCAGAAAAAATATATGTTTATCCTTATGGGTTTAAGTATTTCGACTGCTTGTCTCAAAATGTGTACAGTTTATGTTTGAGGTAGGCGTATATCAGTGTATGAAATTCGTGTAGGCCTACTAATTATTCAAATTATTGAGATAGGCATACA